ATTAACTCTACATTAATTCCTTTAAAGTAACATAGAATTGAACATGAATTGTGTTGAGTTTACAATTGCATTTAAAGAGCTGGCTGTGCTTTTATTTTGAACAGTTGCAGACGAACGACCAAAATGCACAAATACATACACACACACACACACATATGTATGCCCGCGCACAGACACACTTTGTGGCATGCAGCTGCATTAAACAAGCTCTCGCTTAAAGCCCTCCTCCCCTCCCCCTGAAACCGGCAAAGCCCAACGAGGCGCCAACACTCATAAAACGCAACTTCAAACCAAACACTTTGCATATGTGTATTCTCTACATAAATGCATTTAAATATACATATGTATACAAATATATATGCATATGTATATGTTCAAACGCGAGCGCAAAAATATATATATATGAATATATATATGTAAAAAAATACAGAAGAGCGAAATCTTTTATGCGGCTGAAAGCACGCTTCAGTATAATTTGCGGTCATGTTCATTGATCTCCTGGGAAGCATTAAAATTTAATGATTTATATTATGAAAACCGTTGGGGCAAAGCCGCTTGCCAAATGAATTTATGTAATGTCTCTGCTGCGTTATGCTTTAAGGGGTTAACATTGCGAAATTAACAACAATTTGACTTATGCGCGGGCGTAAATGCCAACACACACACAAACAGACAGACACACACATACAGACAGAGATATACAGACACACTCGCACACATTCCCAAGGAGCCCACAATAGCTGCGCCCAAAAGTATGCTAAACAGCCCAAATGAAGCCAGCAAAAGTCATAATTCAGCTAGAGCGAGACGGAGCGAGTCGTTGTAAGAGGAAGGGAAAGAGGAAGGGAAAGCAGAAGAGCAAGAGGAGTGTAGCTCGGGGCCAAGACTTTGTCGAAAGGTAGCGAGAAATGTGAATTTGGACCCGCCTGCAACTATTAATCAGGCTTTAATTGTTTTGCCTGTATGAGTGAGTGTGTGTGTGTGTGCGTGTGTGTTGTTGCTTACATTTGTATGTGGGGCAAACAGTCAGACAGATAAATAGAGAGAGTGAGAGAGAGAGAGAGCTGGAGGGGAGATAGAGGGACAGTCACACGCGCTCGGTTGAGGCCCATGCATCATGCGGCCAAAATCTTTTTGTAATCTCTGGCATTTGTCTGGATTTTTCGTAAAGTCTTTGAATAGATTTATGCGCCTTTGACAGGCACAAGATGTGTGCCGCTTGTTACTGGTGTTGGCTCGTTTGGGCTTAAAGCATCTTAAAGATACGGCCACTGCCAAAAACTTGGCTAGCGATACGCTCAAAACTTCAAACGATGTTTCTCCTAACCTCTGAAGGCCAACTGAAGGTGCTGGTCATAATGGGAGACGACTTTGAAGCACTCTGTAAAACAGAAAAACTAATAAAATAAATAAAAAAAATAAATATAAAAAAATAATAAAATAAATATAAAAAATAATAAAATAATTATAAAAAATAATAAAATAAAATAAAAAATAATAAAATAAATATTAAAAAATAAGTAAAAACAGGAAAAGCAAAGGTTTCAAATTTTTGTAGAGAAAAATAATAAATATTTTTATCTATAATTTATTTATTTATTTTTTTTATTTATTTTTTTTAATATACAATAAGCTTCTATTTATGAGGGATTATTAAATAGTTTAGTACTTAAGTATATATATTCTTTTAATGTTTTATTATTATTTTTTTTTTTTATATATATACAGATGTAACGACAGTTTATGCATATTAAATTAAATTAATGAATTAATATATAAAGTGATTATGATATCATCAAAAAGAAATCTGGAAAAAAATTGTGAATGTTGTCTATTATAAAGATATACGATTTAAAATATAAAAAAAGAAATGAAGATCAAATACTCTATGCCTCAATAGCCTCTCATATCAATTATCAAAGCTGTATCAGCCCCTTGTAAAAATCAATAGACCCTCAAGAGCGTATCAATAGCACCTTCAGCTGCTGCTGTGTCAACTCTTATCAGGCACACCTAGCACCAAGGAGCAGCTGCACAAATTATTGTGGCACAAATCTAAAAAATGCCAAATGCCAAATGCCAAATTGTATGTAAAGGCTTATAAAAATTGTATACTACAAGTTTGTAGTGGCCGACTGGAAGCTCTTGTAACGTTGCTGTTGCTGTTGTTGTTGTTGCTGGTGTTGGTGCTGCTGCTGTTGCTGGCAACACTCTGGCAACTCTCTGGCCGTGACAACGGCAAAGCCCCGACAAACACTTGCCGAGCGAGCGTGCACCCAATGCAAGCTGAAGTGGTTTTTGCGCTCTGGTCCCGCAATCGTCTGTGTTTGTGTTTGCTGCTTCTTTCGTTTTGTTTTACGTTTACAATTTTGCCTTTTTGCTTTTATTTATTTTTCCATGTCCATGTCTGCACATGCTGCGGTCAAGGGTTGTGCTGGTGTTGCCAAAGTGTTGCCATATATTCTAAACATGTTGGCCGGCAGCTTGTCCAGTTGGCTTGGGCCACTTTGCTGGCCAGGCTGGCCAGTCTGACCAGGCTACCCAGGCTGGCCAAGCTGGCTGGCCCAAACGACAGTTAAACGCAAAAGCGGCTAAAACGGGGCTCTAAAAACCACTTGGCAGCTAATCGCGTGATTTATGCCGCAGCTATGATAAGAGCAGCCAGCCCCAAATAAAACAGAGCTTAAAGGTAACAAACTAAAAGGATGTGCTAAAAAAATGTATATTAAAAAATACCAGATTCACCTTTATTTACTCTCAACAATTTTTGCTCACAAACAAATTTATTTTGACTAGCTGAAAATAATATTTACTTCACAATATTTATTACATGCCAAACAAAAATTTAGATATTTTCCATAGCAATTTATTTGGTTATGCAAAGAAACACTTTGGAGCATAACTCGATATATAAATATTTTGCTAAGCAATTTATGTAATAAATTTAGAAATTCAGCTTAAAAATGTGGCTTAAAAACGATAAATGAAAACAGTTTTATTACATATATTATTTTTATTTTCTGCATGTACATTTTTTATTCAGTGAAGCAAATTGAAGTAGAGGATTGTAGCACAGATTATAAATATTTTATTTATTTATTTTATTTCATTTTCATTTTAATTTTTTTTTTTTTTTTTTTTTTTTAATGGTCTAAGTCTTGTTTAAATTTTATTAGTAATATTTCAACTAATAAATTGATCTGTTGAATTTTTAAAATAAATATATTCTTTACTTCTATAATACATACATAAAAATAGAAATTTTTACTAATTCCTGAGAATACAGCCAAACATTAGTTTGCATGCAGGGAGTAAAAACATTTGTAGACAGTTTTGTGATGAAAAAAAAAAAAAAATTGTTAAGCTTCAGCTTCATTGAACAGGCGTCTATCTGCAGATCGTTCAGACTGTCTGCCTATGGCCAATAAGCCAGAATTTTATTTGTTTTTGGCGCATAAATAATCAAAGAAACACAGACAGCGAATGGGTGGGTCCAAGCAGAGGCTGTTGGCAAAGGGCAGACAGCTTGGCAAACAAACCGAAACTAAAATACTTTTATATGGCCATGTGAATCGGCACAATAGATAATAACGTTTAATAAAAACATAAAAACACTGCCAGCCGACAGACAAATAAAAAAAGGGAGAATGAATGAAAATAAACAAGAAATGGCATAAATTGTCAGACACCAGAAAATTTAATGTTTTCTTTATGTGTTTACAGAAAAAATTTGTTTGGATTTGAATTGTTTCATATTTTTATTTCCTTTACTGTTCGCCAGATATTGATTTTAAAAAATATGAGCAATTGTGTATTAAAATAATAATGCAAAAATATGAAAATAGGTAGCAAAGAGATATTTAGGGATTTTAGGTAAAAAGTATTTAAAAAATTTACAAGTTTAAAATTCTTTAACAATTCTTCTAAAAATTGCCATCATACAGTGCTTGCTAAAATTATATAGCCTGCTGGCGTACAAGTGTATTTCAGAGTACGAGTACAAAGTGAATATTTTAAACAAATCCTCATTGACTTTGGGTCGTAACGCACTCTACCCCTTGCAGCTAAATACCAGTGAACGACAGGTAGACGTTTAGCCAGGTATGTTTTTTTTTTTTTTTTGCCTTTGTTTTGTGTGTGTTTTGGTTAACATGGCACGCCTTACCTGTGTATGCAAAAATCTGTGCTCATTACATTGGACTAGGCGAAAAATATGCAAACAATGCTAGACAAAAATTGGATCTCTGCTTGTCTTGTACGAAAAGTTGTGAATGGGGTTCGAGTTGAGCAAGATGGGCAAGAACAAAGGCGAAAACCTTTCACCTACAACATAGCTGGGTTGGGGCAATACTCACAGCAAAACAATGGCGCTCATCAGCAGAGCCGCAATGAAAATTGGAAAATGCTCTAACTGTGCCGACCTCATCTCCCCCTCTCTCTCTCGCTCTCTCTCTCTCTCTCTCTCTTTCAGTCGTGCAACTTCAGTGCTCAGCAATGCAAAAGAAATGGCAAATATTGAATTGAAAAGAAAATGTTCTAGCAAACACACGCACACACGTAGGCAGAGGGCAGAAATCAATGCCTGCTACAGCAGACAAATACCTAATAGCTCACCTGCCATAGCCCATTGTTCACAGTGTGGGCGTGGCAGGTGATGTTGCTGCTCCTACCGCTGCTGCTGCTGTGGTTTGCTGCTTTTATTGTTCCCCTTCTTTGTGTGTGTGTGTGTGTGTGTGTGTGTGTGTGTGCATGCAACAAAATGAAAGTCGAAGTAAAATCATCGCAACTAACGTATGACGGGCTCGCCATCCAGTTTCTTGAGATTGGGCAAACGGCGTATGGCCTCAGCTAGAAATGCAGCCGGATCCATATTCTCGTTCAATGGATTGCCAATGAAGGTTATGTCCGATAGATTCGGCGGCACGCCAATGCGCGCGAACTCAGCCCAATCTTTGACCAGATTATGCGATATGTAGAACACCTTGAGGGCCTTCATCAGCTCGATCTGTTTGATTTTCTCGATATTGTTGTAGCTAACCCATAGCTCCTCCAGCGTCTCGGCCAGCGCTTCGATGCCATTTAGGTTTTTGAGATAATTGCGCGAGAGACTGAGCACACGTAAATTCTTCATGCCCGATATGCCAGCAATTTTCTCAATCATATTCGAGGAGAGACTGAGCTTCTGGCACTCCACCAACGTACTCAGAGTCGCGTCCATTTTCTCAATGGGTGGATACTGGAACTGCAAGCCGATATCAAGGGCCGTTACGGCCTCCATTTTGGTGCGATCCTCCCAGCGCGCCAGGGCATCCTTAATTGTTGTCGGCTTGGACATACTTGTTTTAAATTTTCATTGAAACGTTTTTACAAGTGTCGAATGCAAATTTCAAGTCAGGATTTTGGCCAAAAAAATCAAGGCTAACTGGAGTTTGTTAAAAATTTATGTATGAAATGCTCGCTGAGTAAATAAATTTTTATATTTCAAATGACATTGTTTTTAAAAAGTCCATGTGAGTGTTCAATTAAATATTTGTAGTTCGGTAATCAATAATCTACTGTAAATGTAACATTATTTATGCATATAAATTATTACTAAAATCAAACTTTAATCATTCACTGAACGTTATATCAGCCATTACATATATAATTATTTTTATGTATTTTGTTTGTATAATTATTTATATTAATTTATTATTGCCAAGTATATAGTCTTCCTGTCCAGCTTTAAAAATTACTTAAAAAACTGTTGGCATTTGTTTGGCATCTCTTCTGTTAATTATGAAAAAAAATAAAAATATATATATATATATATATATATATATATATATAAATATATATAATTTTCAATTCAACATTATTTGCTTGATTATTTAAATTGTTTTTCGTTTTAATGACGGCAAAGTAAAAAGCTATAATTATTTTGATTTAATTACATATGCATTAATTATATCACTTTGATTTTTATTAATTTATTTATTATACCGTGAACCCATTGAAAATGGGATATCAGGGTATAATGGTTTTTTTTTTTTTTCATATTGCATATTTCAATTTGAGTTCAATATTTAAATAAATTTAATATGAATAATAAACAAAAATTCTTTAATATATTAATATTTAAAAAATATAATACTTATATATAAATATATTCAAGTATTATATTTCTTAAATATTAATATATTAAAGCAGGAAGCCACGAATGACTCCAAGCTCTGCCCCCTTTCGCCCTTAAGTAAAACTGCTCTTCGTGGCCCAGCACATTAATTGCTGTGATATAACACGGCATTCAAATTTCTGATATAGGTTTCACGTATTTATCATTCGTCTGGTGCCCAATTGGCAGTCGACTCTTCGAATGCTACTGCTCTCTATCAGCTACTTCTTGCTGCTGCTGCTGCTGCTGCTGCTGCTGCTGCTGCCTCTGGCTGGCCCTTTGAATGTAATTTATTTATTTGTCTCAATGTTTACTTGGCTTTTGGCTGCTCCCCAAGCTCCGTCTGGCACACGCTGATAACTTCATTGGCAGCGCCTTTTGTTGCAGTCTGTTTAGGCCCGGGCGAAAGGGGACTTTGGACTCGAGAGGACACCGGGAGTGGCTGGGGCGGGGGGCACGGGCCAGCTACCCAGTTGCCATATGCCACACATAGTCGTCTGCGTTTTTTAATGCTCTCCTTTCTTTATTTATTTCTCTCTTTCGTTTTTTTGTGTCATGTTTGTATAGTTGCGTATGTGTGTGTGTGTGCTTTGTGCCAGAACCCCCGGGGAGTTTATTACACATATTTGAGGTGATAATACAGTTTGCATGCCCTTTTGAGGGGGCATGGCTGAGGGCCTGTGTCTGCCCGTCGTTCGTCGAACTTGTTTTCTCTTTTTTCTCTGCTGCAGCAGCAGCAGCCAGACAATTATTTAACTTTACAAAAATGTTTTTTGTATTATTTAATTTGGCATTCATTTCAACTTTAAATTGAGGCATTTCAGTTCATTTATTTAAATATTTGTTAGCAGCTGTTATCGCAGCAACTGCAACAAATTTGTGGCCCATAAATTATTGAATTTATTGATGCGGCTCTATAAAGTCAGACAAAAATAATATGAAATGCGAGAGAAAAGCAAAAAAACATTGGCCCACATACTCAGATGGCGCACGTTTTTGATAATCGTCCAGAAATTTGCCAAAACATATTTGACTTATATTTTTTGTAATGCTCTAGGTTATTTTTTAGCTTTTCTTCTCTCATATATAGAAATATTATTTTTTTGTTGAGTGCCAAACGAAATTTGGGCGCTCATAAATTGCGTGCTCAATGCGGCAGAACTGACAAACACACTGAAAGCAAGAGAGAGGGCGAACGAGAGAGACAGAGAGAGAGAGAGACAGTGTTGAAATGCATATAAAGTCTAATTTATGTATTTAATGGTTCAACTAGCAGTTGGAGAGGTGTAACCCAAGGCATCTAACATATGATATATGAAGTTATCTTTTGGGCACATTTTTGGGGCAGCAATTAAATTGTCGGAGGTCAATTTGAGAGAAGTTTGAGAGGGTGAAAGACTGTGAATAGTTCGTTTATTTAGCTAGGTGAACATTATTGGAATTAACATCAATTTTATAATTATTATAAATATTTAAAAATGCCATAAATAACTATAATAAGACTGTATTATATGATTTTGAATTGTTTCATTAAATTGTTAGCTTTTCCAATAAGAATGCTTAGAGATGAACAAAAACAAATTTTCCTTCCTATATTTCATGCCTTCATGAAATCAGTAACCTCAATAAGCTAGCTTAGCTTTGAGTCCTTCAATGATAACAGTAAAATTTCATTGCAGTCCACGTGAAATGAACCCAAAGTCCCCCCACCCCCAAAAAAAGTGAACAAAGATACCGAAATTCTCCGAGTTTTGTTCAGCAATAGGCCAATTCGAAGGCCCAGCTACGAATGCAGCGCATACAAAATGCATTTCGACAATTAAACAGCTGAGATAGGAGGCAGAGAGGGGCAAGGGAATTGAAGCTAGGGCGTAGCCGAGGCCTGCTGACCAGCGACAAACCCAGCTAGGAGCGTCCCATATGGACACATGCATTATCACTCACACGGAACAAACATACAAAACCGAGCAAAAGCTGCTCTGCCCATTTTCTCTGTATCTCTCTCTCGTGCGTGTGTGTGTGTGTGTGTGTGTGGTAGCCCGAGAAGCCACAACATGTCCTGTCATGCAGCACAGGACGTTGCGCAGCGGTAACATGCGGTAAACGTTACAGTTGTTGACAGTCGTGTTTGTACTGTTTAGTTTCAGTTAACAAGCGAGAGGCGCCATCGCCAGGAAAAATGGGGAGCAACATATGAGGAGGAACAGTGCTGAGCTGAACTGGACTGAATTGTCATCTTTTTGGTGTGCAATTTGTTAAATGAATAGCTATTAAATTAAAGAGCATATTTTAATAGTGTTGCAAAATGCACCAAAGAGAACAGCACCAGGCACACTCTCCGACACACATACGCTCTCATTCTGTCTTTTTTTACACTTTGCGTGAAATTTGCATGTCTAATTCGTGGGGTTAATAAATAGCTCTGAAATTCATTAGCTTGTAGTGTTGGAAAATGGCTTGGACTTTGATCGCTAAGTTAGTTGTCTTAGTAGTTTTATGGCTCGTTTTTGTCTACCTTCTTATTTAATTATTGCTAGCTCAGCTTCTCTAGCACTGTTTTTTCTTATAAAAGTTGAAACATTTATAGTGATGGAAAACCTTTTGCATTTACAACACAGCTGCTTCACTTATTTTGGTATCTTTCTTTCATTAGCCAACGGAAAAAACAACAATTTCTATATGTATAAATTCTTGTACATACCATTATTTAATTCTAAGTGTTGTATAACACGATATGCTTAACACTAAATACATTTATTACAGCTTGCTTTCACAATTGACTTTTTCCAATGTCTTTGGCCTAAGACACATTAAATTTTACTTAGTTAAAGTTAATAACTGTGATATAAAGTGGTCTGCAGTGCTGCAAAATGCAGCAATTTACATGGCCCACTTAATGCCAAAAAACGAAACTTTGCAACATTGCGCATACTTCTACTTTAAGCAACTCGCACATAAGTCACAAAATGTGCCCAAGTAGACAATGTAACTATTCTAGTTGTTGTTGTTGTAGTCGCTGTTGTCGTAAAACTTTTATGTATGAAAATATTTTTCTCCATAAAACACCTGGCCGCAGCAAAACAACAGAGAGCAAGAGAAACAGAAAGAGAGAGAGATACAGGGAAACTGAACTGAGATAGCGACAAACCGTTGCATATTGAAAACTTTGCATTTAGCAAACAAACTGAGAATGAGAGTAAAAACGAGAGAAAAATATAGAGAGAGAGAGGTAAGTACCTGATAGCCAGAGTGGGGAATGTACTTATATACCTAGATTGTAACTGGCAAGTATTTTCAAGGTAGTCTGCTAAGCATAAAACCCCAAGCAAAGAAAAAATCTTTACAAAGTCTGGCAAAATGCTTACAACGGCTGCTCACATGATTGAGGATTACTTACATCAACTTTTAGCTTAAAGTGGAGCACTTTATAAGCCAAAAGATGTGTTAAATAACAAGTTAAACAAGTTAAAGCTGTATAGTGAGAACTTAGATATATGGGCTAATCATGTGTGAAATGAAGTGTTTATTTAAAAAAAACATAGAAGAATTATGAATGCCAGCTATGTAAATAAACAATTATTAAATAGTATAGTATTGTATAGTATTTACTGAAATTATTCCAAATCACATATTTTTTTAATTTAATGTATAATACTATAAATAGTAATACTAAACTATTAAACAGGGAAATAAAATCTAAAAAAATATTATAAAAACCAATTATTACTCTTTAGACATTAACGAGATATTATATTATATTTCTTGTTTCTTTTATATATACCCTAAATTATTAAAAATGTAACAGGCTGAAGAAAGCCCGTTCAATCCCATAAAATTCAGGGAGCGAAATCGTTAATTTATTTATATTATTTATAAAATTATTTAAAATAAATTATTTATTTTTTATTTGTCTATTAAATTTAACTCTGCATTTAATATAGAAATTATCTTACACACACTAACTTTCTCAGATAGCCTCAGCTATTCAGGCTGTGTTTACATCTGAACAACCAACCGAAACTAAGACGTTCCATTAATTGCTAGCCTCTGAAGGCGCATAGATATATGTATATGTGTGTGTGCTTAGTCATATATGCACATGTATGTATGTATTTACGAGCATAGCATTTGTAAACACGATTCAGTCCTAATTAAAGGCAGAAATCTGCATTGCATAACGATATGACAAGGGTATAAGCGGAATGGGGGTACCATGACTCACGTTTCC